AACAAAAGATTCCATTAGAATTGTGATTGAATGTTGTAAAAGTAAGAAATTAATTTGGTAAGAATTGACATCTTTATAAGATTCATGTTTTCTAAGAACATGGCTGTCTCTCCATTTTTTCAGTCTTTCTTTATATCTTTCAGCAAAATTTTATAATTTTCTTTATATAGGTTCCTCACATTTTTCAACAAGGTTACAGCTAAGTATTTTACGATGGTGTTATTGTCACCACTGTGAATAGGGAAAATACTCATCACAAGAGCTAATGTGTGCTGAAGGCTTACTATGTGCAGGGTAGGTTCTGAATGCTTTACTATTTTAGGTAATTTAATCCTCATAGTACCTTTATGAGATAAGAACTATTATTTTCATTCCCATTTTATAGATGAGGAAACTGAGGCCAGAAGGGTTAGGTTCACATAGTAAATGGATGAACTTTTAACCTCTTGCCATCCGGCTCCATAAGCCATGATTTTAACTATAATGTCACTGGAATATTTTGATTAATTATGGCTTCTAACTGGTTATTCTTAGCATATAAAAAGGCTACACATCTGTTTTACATTTATGTTTTATCACGTGAGTTCTCTGAATCCTGTTATGAATTCTCTCATTTTAGAATTGATTCTCATGGATTTTTTTTTGTGTGTGTGAGGAAGATCAGCCCTGAGCTAACATCTGCCAATCCTCCTCTTTTTTTGCTGAGGAAGACCGGCCCTGGGCTAACATCTGTGCCCATCTTCCTCCACTTTATATGGGACGCTGCCACAGCATGGCTTGCCAACCAGCAAGTTGGTGCGCGCCCGGGATCTGCCGGGGCAGAAGGCATGCATTTAACCGCTTGCGCCACCAGGCTGGCCCCTCATGAATTTTCTATGTATACAATCATATCATCTGCAAACAATGATAAATTTGCCTCTCTCTTTCGAAAAGTTATAACCCCTTTTTAAAAATTTCCAGTCTTATCATATTGGATTTTTCAGAATAATATCAAGTAACACAGTGATGAAACTAGACATTCTTGTTTTATTTTATCTTTACATAAATTGTTAACTTCATATGTATACATATACATGTTTATATATGAAGAATATTAAGACTATTAAGAATGTTTATAGAAAACGGAATTGACTTACTGTGTTCTCTTTGGTGACTATTAAATGATCAAATGTTCTTGTTTTTTTTTTTTTTTTTTTTGGTGAGGAAGATTAGCCCTGAGCTAAGATCTGTTGCCAATCCTCCTCTTTTTGCTGAGAAAGATTGCACTGGGCTAACATCCGTGCCCATCTTCCTCTACTTTATATGTAAGTGTGTAGGTCCACGCCCAGGATCCGGGCCTGTGAACTCTGGGCCACCAAAGTGGAGCATGTGAACTTAACCACTACGCCACCGGGCTGGCCCCAATTATTTGGTTTATTTTTGATGTATTACATAAATAAATTTCCTAATACCTAACCTTGTGTTAATTGCTGGGATAAACCCTAACTGGTTGTGGTATATAATTATTCTGTTAATATACTGCTGAATTTTATGTGTTAACCTTAAATATTTTAGGATTTTCACATTTATATTCATAAGTGAAATTGGTCTATAGTTTTCTTTTGGGGCAGGTGCTATTTCCGACAGGTTTTGATATTAGGTTTATTCTGCCTTCATAAACAAATTGGGTAGTTTTCCATCTTTTTCTATGTTCCAGAACAGTTGCTACTTTCTATTCATTTTGACAGATAAACACTGTATAATAGAGAAGAGAAGGAAGAGAATGCAAATCAGCACAGATTATTTTGCCTCAGTAACTCTGCCACTTTTGTAGCTGGAGGACAGCCTTGATTGTGAAGAAGCAATTTGGAGCAGTAGGAGGGTCAAATGGGCCATAATTCTGGTGTTGAAGAGTGCGGCTGGCTGGTCAGGAACAGAGGTGAGCGAAGGTGGTCCTGGGGAGGGAGGCAAGCGCCAAGGGAGGAGAGGAGCACAAGAGAAGATGAAAGCAGTCTTTACAACAGACTGGAGGTGTTCAAACAAGGACATAAAATCAGAATCAGGTAGAAGAACTGGGCCTGAAGGTGAGGAATGCTGGTGGGCTGATGGGAGGAGGATCTGGGAGTGGGTACTCCTGCCCTTCCAGAAAAGTTTCCAATGCTCTGGCCTGTTGGTCACTGGCTCCTGTTGGAGAAAGTAACATTATTTCTCACCCAGGGTATTTGTCCTTCTGTCCTACCATCTCCCTATCTTCATCACAGCAAAGGCCTACATCCAATGTAGGTTGATAACAGTGATTCACATGCTTCTGCGCACAAGAGTTCAGCATGGAGGGGAGAGCAAGGGGAAGCAGAGCGTAAGACAGACTTCACCAACTCCAACTCTACGCCTAGGGCCAAGTCCTTCACAAGGTTCTCTATGTCTTTTTCATTCCTTCCCTTCTGCTTCTCTACAGCTCATACAGGCAGACCCATCGCACATGCTGTTTTTTAAGGCGCAGGAAAGAGTTGTAGGAAAGGCGAGGAGCAATGTGGTGTGGAATTACTGGGAACTGTTCTGCATCAGGCTAGCCACACAGCTGGGGCCATTTTGAATGAAAAAACAAAGACATCACAGACAAATGAAATGCAGCCCATCTAAACTGACGTTAAGGTCAGCGAGAAATTCTAGGCTCTTTTTACACAAATCCTTTTGAAAATTATTTTAACTGATGGCAAAACTGACATTACTGTTTCATAAATTTTCCTCTCTCTCTCTCACCCCTGGATGGGTTAGTTAACAACCAACAGAGCAGCCACCAGCTTGACATCGGGAGGACGATGCCAGGAGCACAGATGGTCCACAACCCAGATAATTAACTTCTGAATAAGAAACAACATCTAATAAGTCTTCTGTGAATGTAGAGTTTGGTTGGGCACAGCTAGGGCAGAGAACAAGCAGGCCCCCTCAACAACTCTTTTTTACCTCTTAAAATGTCGCTGGAGCACTCACCCACTTCCTGGGACAACCACCTACTCAAAAGACCTGCAAGGAAGAATTCCAAACAAATATTGTAAACACTCCGCCCTAAAGGAGGGGGAGCATAACACATAACACCTCACTCCTTAAGTATGGGACGCACACAGTGACTTCCTTCCAAAAAGTCCAGGATGGAAGGAGTGTAATTTTACAGTGGAGAAACCTGATAAACACCGCTTCTGCCAGGTGATAAAGGTGAACATTGACAGTCATAAATTATGCTGATAGTATGTACTCTTGATAAGGGGTAATGAAAATGGCACTTGACCTCTGTGATCTTCCTCCCCAAAACCCATAACCCCAGTCTAATCATGAGAAAACCATCACACTAATTCCAATAGAGGGGCATCCTACAGTATACCTGACCAGTATTCCTCAAAACTCTCAAGGTCATCAAAAACAAGGAACATCTGAGAAATTGTGACAGCCAAGAGTAACCTAAGGAGCCATGACAATTATATGTAATATGGTATCCTGGATGGGATCTTGGAACAGAAAGAGGACAGGAGGTAAAAACTAAGGAAATGTGAATAAACTACAGACTTTGGTTAATAATAATGTGTCAATATTGGTCCCCGAATTGTAATAAATGTACCACGTAATGGAAGATGTTAACAACAGAGAAAGCTGTGGGATGGCATGTGGGAACTCACTGTACTATCTGCTCAAATTTTCTGTAAATCTAAACTATTCTTAAAAAATAAAGTCTAGTAATAATAATAATAATACCTGCAGGAATCAAATGAAGACTAAGACGGGACAAAAGCACCTCCAAACCCTTTAAGCTTCATAGGCATTTTCTTAGTTCTTTGGCTTTCGGACTTTCATCCTTTTGGGGCACTTACATTACACCCAGGGCTCCTTAGAACTTACCCTCTCCACACCCTTCCCGTGTTTCCCAGGACTCTGTCCCCGACGGGCCGTGGTGATCTCATTCAGTCTCATGGCTTCACTCACTACGGCTCTTCTGCAGATTTCCAAATCTTGTCTGGTTCAGATCACTGTTCATCCAACTCGCTATTACACAGCGCCCCCTAGACGTCCAATTCAGCATTTCCAAACCCAAACCCTGATTCTCCCTAAACCCGCTTCTCTCATTTATGGTCTCACTTCACCGAGAGGCCAGAACCCTGGGCATCACCCTCAGACTTCTCTTTCTCACGGCTCCCTGCCACTCAGTCCCTAAGTTCTGTCAACGCCTCCTGCTTAGGCCCTTTTGTACTGTGTTCTTTCCATTCCGCTGCCAGGCCCTCAGCACCTCTGGGCTCCCTGCCATCAGGTATTCCCCTTCTGCTCCCTATGTCTTTCCTTGCTTCATTTCTTTCCTCCTTCTCTGTCCTCTGGCAGTTATTGAAAAAGAAAAATGTAGAGATTCTCTCAGGCCTCCGCCAGGCAGCTCCATGACGCCTCCCCACTATAATCCCTCACAATGAACTTTTCTCTATCGTCAGATGTGTGTGTGTACGCGCGCGCTTAGGTGTCTGTTTACCTTTTGTGTTTGAGATATAGAATCACGAGGAATTAGTGGCTGGGTTGCCACAATCTATTTAAAAACATACTAAGAGGACAAAGCTCATTTTAAGAGCATCAGCCATTAACCCAGTTTTCTCAGTGTTCAGATGGACCTAATTAGTGACACAACAACCACCTTTGACTTAGGTAACGGAAAAAGCTGACATAAGATGGTTGCAGAACTCAATCAAGTTAAGACCAGGAAATGAGGAAACTTTAAAGAGTGTAAGGAAAGCAAAAGGAGACTTAAAAGACGCTGCTTACGGCCGTATTGCGCGAGACGCAATAAAGTGCCCATCCCACCGAGCCAGCCAGGAGTCGAACCTGGAATCTTCTGATCCGTAGTCAGACGCGTTATCCATTGCGCCACTGGCCCTGAGACAGCCGAGCTCGGCCCCATGATGACACTTCAAGCTTATACTGCAGGGTTTCATGGGACGTGTAGTCCCCCAACGGGATTCCACGAATACAGGAAGCATTATGGGAGATTGAAGTTCGTTGAGAACCAGCCCCTGAGATTGGTGGGTCTGCCGGAGCCACGCCGCACGTCGCTCGGCAGCCCGCGGATTGGCGGGAGGAGCCACTCCCCACCCCTCCGCCTCCTGCTCCGCAGCCGTGGAAGACGCTCTGGTTGTTAGGACGACTCGTCCCGCCTTCTGGGGGCTTTTTTTCGGTTCTGTGATTGGCTGCCAGTAGCGAGGAATCCCGGCGTGGACAGCGCGAGGGGAAAGATGGCGGCAATGGCGGTCGGAGCTGCCGGTGGGAGCCGCGTGTCCAGCGGGAGGGACCTCAATTGCGTCCCTGAAATAGCTGACACGTTGGGGGCTGTGGCCAAGCAGGGGTGAGGGCCTGGACTTCCGCGAGCGGAAGGCGGAGTCCGAACTCGGGGAAGGAGAGGGGCAGACAAGTCATCCCCGGGAGGCAGGGGTGAGGGGGTCGGAGTGGATAAGATGAGGGCGGGAGAAATCGTGACTCCTTGGCAGGAGAAGCCTCGGGCCCTGGAGCGTGAGAAAAAAAAAACTTATTGGGGGCAGATGGTCACTGAGGTCAAAAGTTGGGGGAGTTGTCAGGTAAATTCAAAAGGGGCGTTCAGAGCTCCAGGGCCCTGGAGAACGAGATTATCGTCTGAGAATGGGAGTGTTAGGAAGCTAGGGAGAAGAGATGAACCTTGAGGGGGAAGCATGGGCAGTAGTGGGGCAGATCTGGATGTGATAGTCCTGGGAAACCAGTGACAGCAGAGTAGAAAATCCACTTGGAGTGGATTTTCATTTTTTCTCCTTACTCTTTCCCATGGCTGTGTTCTGGGGGGACATTGAGGCACAGTGCAGCGGAAGTGATATGCCCCAAGGTGGGCTGAACTCAGCAGTCCGGTCGGGTGGACTGATGGCAGCTGAAAGGGTTGTGGAAGATCGAGGTAGCCTAATCCAGTTGCTTGCATCTCTGGGCACTGCTGCTCTCTTTACATGACGATTCTGGGTCTGTCGCGGTTGTAGGTTTGATTTCCTCTGCATGCCTGTCTTCCACCCGCGTTTCAAGAGGGAGTTCACTCAGGAACCTGCTAAGAATCGGCCGGGCCCCCAGACACGATCAGACCTACTGCTGTCAGGAAGGGGTAGGGACCATCCCATATGCCCCTTAATTAATAGAGGCAGTAACAACTTCTGCTTTATCAGTGCCCTCATTCTCCTTCTTTCCTGACTTGGCTATATTGGTTAGTCCCTGAGATATAGATGACTTGTTTTCTCCTTGCTTACCTTAGAGCCTTAGTTCCCTATTCTGCATCAGGCTATCCTGTATCTGTGATAGGAAAAGGCTTTGTGTCTCATCTCTACTCTCTATTCCCTGTTAAGAACTAGAAATTGAAGGAGTAAAGTGCTGAACCTCATTCAGTCTTTGTCTTTCTTGGGTGGGGGAGTGCAGACTGGAATACGCTAATTGTGGGAAAGCTTTCTCCATGGATTCATCCAGACTCAAAAGTGGAGAAGATTCGCAGGAACTCAGAGGCGGTAAGACTGTTTGACCTCTCCACTGGATCTTTTTAAAGATCAGGTCTGTAACCAAGCTGGGTGGGGAGAGCAGTTTTTTTACCCCCCATAATTTAGTAAATCTGATATACTATTAAACCTATTCGAGTTGCTAGCTCTTAATCTTTTCCTCTTGATCTTCATTCCAGGCCATGTTACAGGAGCTGAATTTTGGGGCATATTTGGGTCTTCCAGCTTTCCTGCTGCCCCTAAATCAGGAAGATAACACAAACCTGGCCAGAGTTTTGACCAACCACATCCACACTGGCCACCACTCCTCCATGGTATGGCTGAGGGCCTCTTTTCCTGTTGTGTATTATGGTAGTCAGGCTGTGCTAAGTACTAAGTAAGTAATGGCTTGCTTACTTAGCCATTCAGTAAGGGGTGCATTTAGCAGAATTGAAATGTCAGTACTGCTTGCACCCCCTCTAAAAGTGGTAAGCAGAGAGTTATAAATTATATATATAAGAATATGTAATTATTTCCTGAAACTTACAGTTGGAATAAAGGACAAGGCAGATATTTACATAAGGATATACACAAGAAATAATCACAAATTGGGAAAAGCATATAAAGGGACTAACTCGAGATCTGGATCAAGATCTTTTTAATTGAAGGAAGCATTCTGGACCCAATGGGTTCAAAATAGAGTTCTTAATAGGGTACTTGTTCATGTGCAGTTCTGGATGCGGGTACCCTTGGTGGCACCAGAGGACCTGAGAGATGATATAATTGAGAATGCACCCACTACACACACGGAGGAGTATAGTGGAGAGGAGAAGACATGGATGTGGTATGTCTCCTTTTGCTGCTGTACCAGGGCAAAGGGTAGGGTGAGGGGAAGTACCCAGTAGAACCTGTAGGGAGGTCTCCTTGATTGGTGGGCCATATATACTTGACTGTATTTTTCTGTATTTAACTCTGGACAGGTGGCACAACTTCCGGACCTTGTGTGACTATAGTAAGAGGATTGCAGTGGGTAAGTCCACGAGGGTCTTGGGATGGGTATCCCTTCTCTGACCTCTTGTGAATAAGAATCAGGAGTTTCATGTATACTTGGCTGCTGGGCAGTTTTGCTGCTTTCTCTGTGCTTCAGTCTGCCTTGCTCTTAAGGAGTAAACAGATCTTGCACAAAAGAGCAAGGAAAGCCTTCTTGCCTAGCAGTGGTTGATGGGTCTTTCTTTTCCCTTGTGTAGCTCTTGAAATTGGGGCTGACCTCCCGTCTAATCATGTCATCGATCGTTGGCTTGGGGAGCCCATCAAAGCAGCCATTCTCCCCACCAGCATTTTCCTGACCAATAAGAAGGGATTTCCTGTTCTTTCTAAGATGCACCAGAGGCTGATCTTCCGGCTCCTTAAGGTGGGTGGTTATCTTCTAAAGGTGCTCCACCTAATCCTTTTGCCTTATTCACATACGTATGATGCTTTTTTCCTGTGGGGCTGACCCTTCTCCTCTCTGGTTTCTGAAGAGCAATTTCAGCAAAGTTGCGGGTCTTGAGAGCAGAAAGGAAAATGGCAGTAGGAGCCCCAGAAACATTTCAAAAGGAACCAGATCTCATGAAAATTTCGCAGAAGGTTTCATTTAAGAAATTACAGAGAGGATCCTTGAGGTCCTTTGAGCCAGGATGATGCTTTTATGGCACAGGAGGGCTTTATAAGTTCACTGAAGCCTCATGCTGCTTTTGTTGGTATTTAAAGGTATTTGTTGGACTGGAGAACTGCTGATCTGGGCCTTATTTTTATGCTAGGGCTCTGCGGCCATAAACGATGGTAATATTCCAGAATCTTGGTTCGAGGACTGTGTCTGAGGGTCTGATTTCTCTCACAGTTGGAGGTGCAGTTCATCATCACAGGCACCAACCACCACTCAGAGAAGGAGTTCTGCTCCTACCTCCAGTACTTGGAATACTTGAGCCAGAACCGCCCTCCACCCAATGCCTACGAACTGTTTGCCAAGGGCTATGAAGACTATCTGCAGTCCCCGCTCCAGGTGGGTCTGGAGTACACTGAGAAGGGGGAAAATGTCTCTTGAGAGTAGGTGCCCTAAAATCCTACCAAAGCTCAGCAGGCAATGGGAAGGTTTTGGTATTCTGGTGCATTGTCCTTGCCAGAAACTGGCTAACTTTGCCTTTTTCTTCTCATTCATCAGCCACTGATGGACAATCTGGAATCTCAGACATATGAAGTGTTTGAAAAGGACCCCATCAAATACTCTCAATACCAGCAGGTACAGTGTGGGTCCCAGATTGGGTCAAGCACAGGGCTGAGGTGACCTGGGTGAAGATGGGATTATAGCCACGAGGTCTCCTTTCCTTCCCCCTAGGCCATCTATAAATGTCTGTTAGACCGAGTGCCAGACGAAGAAAAGGATACCAATGTCCAGTGAGTGCTCTCTGCACAATCCCAGAGGTTTGCATGCCTACTGCTCTGTATGCCAAGTCAGCTTGACTCTTCCCCTCTCTTTCTTAGGGTGCTAATGGTGCTGGGAGCAGGCCGGGGACCCCTGGTGAATGCTTCCCTACGGGCAGCCAAGCAGGCTGACCGGCGGATAAAGCTGTATGCTGTGGAGAAGAACCCAAACGCTGTGGTCACGTGAGTAGCAACCTCTTTGCTGGGAAGTGTGTCCCCAGTGCCAGTTTTTCTTACCAGTGCCTCACCTGTATCATCTCTATTTTAGGCTAGAGAACTGGCAGTTTGAAGAATGGGGAAGCCAGGTGACAGTAGTCTCATCGGACATGCGGGAATGGGTGGCTCCAGAGAAAGCAGACATCATTGTCAGTGAGCTTCTGGGCTCCTTCGCTGACAATGAACTGTCACCTGAGTGCCTGGATGGAGCCCAGCACTTCCTAAAAGGTGCCTCCAGGCTGGGGTGTACTGAGTAGAGAATAGATTATTAATGCTGGGAAGGCTGGGGGCAGGGATTGGGTGGGGCAGCAGCCTAGGAGGAGATTACAGGGTTTAGGGGAACATGGGTTGGACTTGGGTCAGTGCCTTTAGCAAATGAAGTAATCTCTCTGAACCTTGGTGTTCACATCTGCAAATGAAGGGAGTGGATGAGAGCAGAGACTCTTAACCTGAAGTCTGGACTTGCTGAGCTGACATGATATGTACCTTGGGCTTAGCTTCATCAAGATCTCAGAGGGCTTTGTGACCCTACAAAAGTTAAAAACCACTAGATTAGAATATGTTAGGTTCCTTCCAGTTTTAATCTTTTGTGACTCTGTAAATTAACCCAGAAGTGGAATCCCCCGTGGCAGGAGTTGGGAGCAGGTTGGTCTGGGAATGTGACAACATGGAGCTGCCTGGGTCTGTTCTGAGGTGGGAGATTTGAACCTTCAGTTAGTACAGACACACCATTTCCATCCTGGGAACTAATGTGACCCTCCTGCTCCACAGATGACGGTGTAAGCATCCCTGGGGAGTACACCTCCTTTCTGGCTCCTATCTCTTCCTCCAAGCTGTACAATGAGGTCCGAGCCTGTCGGGAAAAGGACCGTGACCCTGAGGTAAAGAGTCAGTCTCTTCTGGAGGACTCTTCTCTCTTTAGTCCTCTTATGTTTCTATATTAGCATCAACTGTTTCTTCCACTGGAGAAGATGAAGAGGTGAAGGAGGAGTTGGGGATGTGGGAAAGTGGCTGAAGTGAAACTATGTTTTTTTCTCTTTCTGTGTCCCTGAGGCTTGAGCTTCTTTCCCTGAGGAAGTAGGTATCTTTTGCCTGTCTTCTCTAACTCTTGCTCTCTGTCTCTCGGGACAGGCCCAGTTTGAGATGCCTTATGTGGTACGGCTGCACAACTTCCACCAGCTGTCTGCACCCCAGCCCTGTTTTACCTTCAGCCATCCCAACAGAGGTGGGTTCCTGCAGGGCTGTCCTGGGTGGGACATGACTGGATGGGGGAGAGCTCACCCTCCTGGCTTCTTCCCTTGCTGTCCTGGGTCTGCTCTATCTAGGCTTCCCTTCCTGGTTCTTGTTCATGCTTTACACTAAGTTGTCTAGGGCTCCTGGCCCCTCGTCACCCACACAGCTCTTCCCTGACAGATCCTATGATTGACAACAATCGCTACTGCACCTTGGAGTTTCCTGTGGAGGTGAACACAGTGCTGCATGGCTTTGCAGGCTACTTTGAGACTGTGCTTTATCAGGATATCACTCTGAGTGAGTGTCCGGGGCAGTGGGTGGTGGGGTATGAGAGTACGCTACCTGGGCAGCTAATGTACATGTTTCATTTAGAGTCACGGGGAGCCCAGGAATCAGTGCATGGGGATCTTTGATTACTTGTTCTGTGTTCACAGAAGGGACTCCCCTCGACCTAGGCAAAAAGCAAAGTCATGGAGACCTCAGTTTTTTTATTATTTTGTCCACACAGGTATCCGTCCAGAGACTCACTCTCCTGGGATGTTCTCATGGTTTCCCATCCTCTTCCCCATTAAGGTAGGAAATGCCTTTAAGACTCCATGGGTTAAGTAGTAACTGCCGCCATTGGTGTTCTGCCCCTTCCCTTCTCCCAGGATGATGCCTGGCTATGACCCACGTTCTACCACTCTCACATGCTCTTGGATCCTTGTCATAGATATTGGAATATCTGCACTGGCCTTCTACTTAGCTTCCCCGCATCTACTCTGGCTACTCTTCTATCCATTCTCTACCTTGAGCAAGAGTCATCTTTTAAAAACTCAAATCTGATCATATCTTTCTCCTTCTTAAAACCTTTCACTGCCTTCCCACTGCCCTTAGGATAAAGGTCAGAATCCTGAACATGGCTTATAAGACTTGGTGTGATCTAGTTTCAGCCTGCCTTTTCAGCTACTGTCCCCTTGATTACATTGCTCAGCCCTGTGGGTTCTTTTGGTTCCTCTATTACCCCATCTTCTTTCCTGCCTCAGGCTTTCACACCTTTCTCCTTTGCCTGGAAAGTTCTTTGCTCATCTCTTCACCCAGCTAACTTATCTTCCAGGTCTCCTCAAACTTCCTATTGCCAAATGACTTTCCCTGACCTCCTAGACTAGGTTAGCGTTCCCTTTCATAGCACCCTGTGCATGTTCACAGCACTTGTCACACTTTTGATTATTTGTTCTGACAGACTTCAAATAAACTTCATGAGGGTTGGAACATCATATTTTATCATTTTATCTCCACACCTAGCTCAAGACATTGCCACATATAATTCATTAGCTCCACCCTGACCCTCGCTATCTTTCTTCTTACAGCAGCCCATTACGGTACGTGAAGGCCAGACCATCTGTGTGCGTTTCTGGCGATGCAGCACTTCCAAGAAGGTGTGGTATGAGTGGGCTGTGACAGCACCAGTCTGTTCTGCTATTCACAACCCCACAGGCCGCTCATACACCATTGGCCTCTAGCCTGGCCTGCAAGTGTCCAGAGCCTTGGAAGCAGCTTCAGGTTCTGCTCCTATAGCACAGAAGGTGCAGTACATCCGTGGGCTGTGATTCCCCTTGCCCATCAGAGAGGAGCATTTCAGTCTGCTTTTCTACCTTACGTCAAGGTGGGCAAAGGATGAGAATCAATTGCAGGGCTCAAGCCACCAATCTATGAAGACTTCAGGCCAGGGTGTGAGGAATTAGTGCTGGATCTGAAGCTACTCTGACAGGCACTCAGCCTCAGGCACTTCCTGGAATAGCCCTGAGAACGTGTGGATTGAAAAAATTTTCAGCCCTTTCCCTGCCCATCTCTGTTCCTGTTTTGATGGTTTTGTGTGGGGGGAAATACAAATAAAGTGAAGTTATGGCCTTTCCTGCTCCCACCCTGCTGCCCCCTGCCTCTGTTTTCCCACCCCTGACTTAAACTTATTCAGATCTGTGCCCTTATCGAAGACCCGAAGGGGCATAGCTTTGTTTCCTATTTAGGAAGCTTGGCGGTGACTCTTGGACTCCCGGGTATAGGCCTTTCTGACCAACTAGAGAGGTCTTGTCCATTAGGACCTGTGATTAGGCTTTTCTCTGGGGATGAGGCATAGTTTGCCACCATGGAGAAAGATGGGGGCAGTGAGTGAAGCCAGCTTCCCTTCCACCTTTCTTAGCTGCTGCACTGCCAGCTCCTTTGTTACCTCTTGGGAGAGAAACTGGAAGCCATCCAGGCATCTCCAGCAAGAAGTCACCTATTTTGTTTGAATAAAATCACCGGGTTAGAGTTTGAAGTCCTAAGAGATCATCTAGTCCAATTCTCCATTTTAGAGAGGAGGAATTTGATATGAAGTTAATATTCAAATCAGGACTAGATCACAGGTCTTCTGACTGTAGCTCTCTCCATGTTATAACCAGCCACGTTTCTGACAGCTCTATTAGGCAGCTGAAGTCTCTGGGGGTTCTGGAAGCCCCTGGAATGTGAAGGTGCGCATCAGTTCCTTCTTTCTGGTTAGAGGGCTGATAGCACTTACTGCTGCGCCCGAGGAGTCACCTGAGAAACTGTCTCAAGTTTACCCTTGCGGGGGGGGGGGGGGGGGGGGCACCGATTTGAACTGAAGGTATGTGAGCTATAGGACCAGGTGATAATAAGGCGTAGTGTGGAATAAAACAAATCTGTAGCAACACTTGCTTTTCCCAGGTCACAAGCGCCGAGGGCAGGAAAGGGGCGGTCGGGAGGGTTGTGTAGAAAGCCCGCTCAGAATGGGGATGTGGAGTCCAGCATCCTTCCCGATGTGAGACAAACGCAGGTGCTCTCCACAAAGCTGCCCCGGGTTAAGACCGACGTGACCCCCTCGACAAATGAGAGTGGGGACAGCCAAGGACGTCAGTGGTACCTCTCGGTGACTCCGCCCACGGCACGGGCCTACTCAGCCTGAGCACCGGGCGCGCGGTAGGAGAGTCGCTCCCTCGTGTTCTCTGCGCGGTTTCCACGCCTGCCGCAAGTCATTTAACCAATGAGAGCGGTGGGCGGCCGCCTAGGGACGCTGCCACTGTCCCTGAGTCTCGGAGAGGTGAGCCAATCAATGGAAACTTGATGGTTGCTACGAAACATTTGAGTTTGGCTCCACCCGCGTTTAGGATTTTGGCCAATGAAAAGCTGTATTTTGGACTGTTGCCACGAAACCGGGGAGATTAGTTCCACCGCCTGAATGTTTCAGCGCCTGCGCAGATTGGGGAAAGTTCTGGAAGAGAGTGGAGCTGCCGCCATTTTGCGAGAAGAGGAGCAGCTGCGGCTGCAGTGCTGCTTTTACTGCTGAGACTGGGAAATAGCTGTGCTTGGTGCCCCCCAACACACCCAAAGGAACGGAGAAAACCGGGACCCCCCTGCGGGGACCCGGAACTGGTGAGAAACCCCGAAACCCGGTCCCCCGCGACGTCACCTGTGCGTGACGTTGCCGCACGGCTCCTCCCCCTGACGTCACGGGCAGAAAATGGCGTCAAGAGCAGATTAGGCGTACTTTTAAAATTAAATTTTTGTGTTTACTTTAATCTGGAGTGTTCGTTACCTAAATGTAGTTAACTGGCGTGATTTGAGGGATCGGCACCCTCTGGCTACATCCTTTACCCATGAAGATGCTGTTTCAAGGATCCCAGTGACTTGGATCCCTTTCCAGGTCCCCGAGCCCTGACGTGTAGGTCTCCCTTATTGGGGAGGGAGCACGTAGGATCGGTTTTCAGCCCCTAGTGCCACCACTCAAAGAGAGAGATGAGGGAATTGAGATTTTTCTCAATCTTCAGTCTCTAGAAGACTCATGTTCGCTATGTTGGCGACTATGAGCTTTTCCCTCTTTCTTTTTTTGACCACACATTGCGTCGCGGTAGAGCAGTATAATGAGGCCACATAGGAGGTTTTAGCACTGGGACAACGGCCCTCGCAAAAATGGTGCCAGTCGGTTACTTATAGGACCATTTTTTAAAGCGTATCCTTGGCTTGTTACACAACACAAGAATGTTTTTATCTTTCTCATTGTTGCTGTTCTTAATTCAGCTGTGTTCGATTTGGAGATGTTTGTGCCCAGCTCAGTGACCAGACCCAGGAGATGGCGCTACCATCATCTCTGGGTCTTGAGCGTTTGGTGAATTCTACCTGAGCTGGGCTGACAGTGGTTCTGCACTCTCCTTTGCTCCTTGAGCAGTGTGACCTTGGGTCTTGGCTGTGCCGTGACAAGGTCCAGGCACTGCCTTGATTGCGGGCCTCTAATGCAGTTTTTGGAGCAGGGATGGAAGAAAGCACTATAGCGTTTTAATGGATGGGATTGAATGGGCCTTGACCCATAAGTTAGGGCATGGAGAGAGTTTGAAAACTACCAACCTGAAAATGCGTAGTATTTGGGACTGTACTGCTTTTAGGACATCTAGAAACGTACATGAAACCCAGTGACATTTCAGGTTTCAAAATGTGCTCATGTTGTATATATGTGTATGCTTAAATAGATTCATTGCTTTGTTTCTGAGTGAAAAGTTGACTCCATACATGGGGGTTCATGTAACAACTTAAGTGAAAGTTTTTATGTGCCCGTTGTTACCCCTGCCCTGTATTAGCACGCAACAAAGAGCAATTCTTGAAATCAGAAGCATTTCATTTGGTGAGGAAAAAACAGATTGTAAAAAATAAAGAGGACCTTTATGACACTTAGAAAATTCTTATAGACTTGGCAGCCAAAAGGACTGAAAGGGACAGAGTTTGAGAAGACCTCAGATCAAGAGTCCGCTCCTCCGTTTTACCTTTGTGACTTTGAGCAGTTCACAAAACCTGTTTTTTCATCTGTGTTGGATCTGATATCTGCCTTTAGCATATATTACCTTTGATTGCTAAATAAGTGAAAGGTGTTATTATTATATGAGATTGAATTAACTGGTTTTTAGACACATCTGTTTGATTTCGGTTTTATTTCCATTTAAGTCTTAGATTTGGCTCCAAGTAATTTTTATTAAGCTCTTTCCAGGAATCTTATCTCTATGACGTGTTTAGCACAGTGTCTAGCAAATATTAGGTACTGTAAATGAGAAGTGTAATGATTACTGCTATTTTTATATTACTTATGTAATTTTAATATTACTCATTTTTATATTACTATATTGTTAAATCATGAAAATAGGCAATAGGGGGCCAGCCCGGTGGCCCAAGCGGTTGGTTAAGTGCGCGCGCTCCGCTGCGGCGGCTGGGGTTCGCTGGTTGGGATCCCGGGCGTGCACCGACGCACTGCTTGGCAAGCGATGCTGTGGCGGCGTCCCATATAAAGTGGAGGAAGATGTCTTCCTCAGCAAAATAAAAAAAAAAAAGAGGAAGATTGGCAGATGTTAGCACAGAGCTGATCTCACAAAAAATAAATAAATAAAAATAAAATAGGCTATAGGCTCTGGGGGCAGCATTGTTGGATGATGCATTAGCTGCTTTAAAGAGCACAAAGCTCTTGTGGATATGGAAAGTCTGATTGTGATTAGAGTTTTTGGATAGAAGTTGTTCAGATCAGTTCATTTTTTTTTTTCTTTTGGTCAGCTTTATTGAGTTATAACTGACATAATAAAACTGTACACATTAAAGTGTACAGTTTGATGGGTTTTGTTTTGTAAACACCCATGAAACCATCACCCTCCAAAGTTTCCTGTGCCCTTTGGTAATCCTTTCCTCCTAGCCCTTCCCTACCTACTTCTTTCCCTAGGGAACTGCTCATCTGCTTTCTGTCACTACAGGTTAGTTTGCATTTCCTAGAATTTTATATAAATGGAATCATACAGTATGTACCCTCTTTTTGTCTTATTTATTTCACTCAGCATAATTATTTTGGGATTCATCCATGCTGTGTATATCAGTAATTTCAGATAAGTGATTTTTGAATAATTTATCCTATTGACTTTGTTTGGTATCTTCTGGTTTTTTTTTTTTTTTTTTTGTGAGGAAGATCAGCCCTGAGCTAACATCCTACACCAATCCACCTCTTTTTTTTCTTTTTTTTGCTGAGGAAGTTTGGTCTTGAGCCAATATCTGTGCCCGTCTTCCTCCACTTTATATGGGAGGCTGCCACGGCATGGGTTAGACAAGCGGGGCATCAGTGCGCGCCCAGGATCCGAACCTGCGAACCCTGGCCCGCGGAAGCGGAGCACACACGCTTAACAGCTGTGCCACCGGGCTGGCCCACCCCCCCCAACCCCCAGTTTTTCTTACTTCATAGACCTGTGGTGGACAGATTTGGGAGATGTGAAAGCCTGGGGGAGGTGAGAAGTCTTACCCTGCCTGCCTAGACAGAAAGGCTTCAAAGAAGGATTAGTTAAGCCTGTCTTAATCATAATCCTTCTGGGTGACCTAAACTCTAGTTGGTATAACATAGAAAATGGTTAATGATAAATCCCCTAATTGTTGGTGTTTGGGTGGGGGTTGTGGGGAAGAGCTTAGGGGGGCAAACCTGCATTATTCTGGTGTTGCTTTGTTTTGCTCCTGATTTTTTACTTTTTTATTGGAAATATGTGCCTGTTTCTATGATTGAAGTTTAAACCAGTTATTCAGAATTTTGAACCGTAGAATGGAGGCCTAGTGTCCATCGTAAAGTGAATAGTAATTTTGAGTACCTACGTTTTCTCCTCACAGGACAGGGTCTGTATTGTATTTTGTCTCTACTTAGATATTCAGTTCCTTCTAGACCCTTGACCTTTTCTAAGCCACAAAGCCCAACTAGTTCAGATCTGTAAGCTGCAAGAATAAACCTAGGGTAAGCAGCAGCCAATAAGATCCCTTTGGAGTTCAAGAAACAGAACTGTAGATCCTGAAGTCTGTTGCTTGGAGGGGGGAGGGAATGTGGGGAGCCAGAAGGGGAGGAACAATATAAATGAGGTTCTTATATATTGATGTCCTCTCCTAGGATCTGCTACGATGGCGTCCGATGACTTTGATATAGTGATTGAGGCCATGCTGGAGGCTCCCTATAAAAAAGAGGAGGTAATATTCCCCACCTCACTCTTGGAATTGGGTTAGTAAGAAAAAGCAGTTGTGGATCATCAGTTACAACATTTTGTAAATCCTCTTTCCCTGCTTATTTACATTTTCTAGAATTTTATGTAAATGTACATAGTATACAGTGGCTATTCATAAAAGGCATTGCCTTTTAGTAAGCCCTGCGGGAGACCCATACTCAAGGGCCATGCCTTCAGAGAAGGCTCCAAAAACTGGGGGTGTGGGGCCACATAATGTCATGGGAAGGAGTGCTTTGCTCATAGCTCTCAATGACACAGAAAGTTGGTGTACCTCAGACCTAACTCATTTCTCGCTCTCGTGGGAAATGTCAGTAGAACAGATGTTGGGTAGCTAAAGTTTTGACGTCAGAATCTGTCACTGTGATCTCTTCTTTTGGGTAGTTTCTTCCCTTCCTCTCTTACTCCCTTTGTTAGGAGATCCAGGTGCTCAAAAACTGGTTAGATAATTGAGAGCTTTGATTTCATGAGCTTTCTTTCATGTCCACTTTTGTTCTTTCTCTGCCCAATGGAATCTGTGTGTCTGCCACCTTGTACCTTGTGACATTTTCCTGGTGAACCCCACAGGATGAGCAGCAAAGGAAAGAGGTTAAAAAGGACAGCCCTAGCAATACCACCAATAGCACCAGCAGCACTGGCAACAGTGGCAATGCTACCAGTGGGAGCAGCGCCAGTGGGGAGGCAAGCAAGTGAGTGTGGCATGAAGGAATGGGTTGGCAACTTGGGGAAGGGAAACAGTGGTATCTTTTGGAGAAACAGCCAGAACGAGGAGGTGGTTGCTCATAAAACTCCTGACTTTGAGGGTTGGCTCCACTGGGTCCTGGGCATAATGGTGACTAGGTTTAATGATCTTCTAGTCTTCACTTTCTAGTTTAGATTTGTGAATCAGTCCTAGCATTGACATATTCCACTTGAATAAGATAGCAAGAAGACCTCTGATTTGGAAATAGCAGCTTTTGGAAATAGCTTTTGCTTGGCTTTGTTGGGGGACATGGCTGCTTCAGCTCCCTAACAGCATTCAGGGCTGTGTCTAAGTTGGTGGTGTGCAGTTGCTGTGAACTACCACCAGATTGTCCTCTGGGCTTTGGTCTTTTACTGCTTTCTGTTTCGCCCTGGGCTTAGTGTCATTCCTTTTCCTTGTGAGAGACCATGAAACCTTCTCAGTAGTAAGAATTTACACTCTCTTTCACAGGAAGAGGAGGAGTCGGAGCCATAGTAAAAGCAGGGACAGAAAGCGCAGGTCAGTCGTTCTGGGGATAAATGGACAGATACCAGGGGAAGCTATACATTAAAGGCCAGAAGAGGTTGGTTTGTTCTTTAACAAACTCATTAGTCATTTCCATCTCCAGTCGTAGTCGAGACCGGGATCGGCATAGGCGGAGAAGCAGTCGGAGCTGGAGTCGAGATCGGCAGCGTCGTCACCGCAGCCGTAGCTGGGATCGTCGACGTAGTAGTGAGTCACGGAGTTGGGACCGGCGTCGTGAGGATCGTGTGCGCTACAGGAGCCCACCACTTGCCCCTGGGTATCGCCTTTTGCTAATAAGATCACCTTTGTATTGTAATCTGAGTAAAATAAGTGCACTGTGATCTCTGCTGGAGGGTGCTTATAACCTGTTGGTAGGCAGGAGATCCGTTACTGGAAGGTCGGTATTGTTCACATGTGAGATGGGGTGCTGGAAGCTAGTTTTCTCATGAGGGAAGACCCAGCATTGGACCAATGTGAATAAAGCTGGGTGACATGATTTTCAGTTTTGTTGTTCTCTGTTCTCTAGGCGTAGGTACGGACAAAGTAAAAGTCCTCATTTCAGAGAGAAGAGCCCAGTCAGGTGAGTGGATAATGAGCACTTTTTTTAGGGATTGTGAGGTATGAATAAAAAGCTGTTTGAGCCAAACTACACAAGTGTGTAATACTTGAGGCCAGCAGGTGAACAGTGACCAAGTATTGAGAAGGGAGGTCTCAGCAAATTGTACTCACTCTTTAGGGAGCCAGTTGATAATTTGAGTCCCGAGGAGCGTGACGCCCGCACAGTTTTCTGTATGCAGTTAGCTGCCCGCATTCGGCCTCGAGACCTGGAGGACTTTTTCTCTGCTGTTGGCAAGGTAACTAGCCCCCTTAGTTTTCTTCTGAGCAGCCCATCTTCTATCCATTCCCCTTTCTGCCCAACTCAGGATTTCCTTTCTTCTCTGGATAGGTTCGTGATGTACGTATCATCTCAGATCGGAACTCACGTCGTTCTAAGGGCATCGCCTATGTGGAATTCTGTGAAATCCAGTCTGTGCCACTGGCCATTGGGCTGACCGGGCAGCGCCTGTTGGGAGTGCCTATCATTGTACAGGCTTCACAGGTGAGCAGGCTAAGAAACTGACATGAAAAGATGGAGTTGAAGGTAGGAGGTGTGGGACATGACCCATTATTTCCTCCTTCCCCAGGCTGAGAAAAACCGACTGGCAGCCATGGCCAACAACCTGCAGAAGGGCAGTGGTGGGCCAATGCGCCTCTATGTGGGCTCCTTGCACTTTAATATCACCGAGGACATGCTCCGGGGCATCTTTGAGCCTTTTGGCAAAGTGAGTAGAAAGTGAGGGAAGCCTCTGAAGGGAATTGGAAAAAGTGAGGAGAGTGAGTATACCTCTCTGTTCTGTCTAACCGTGATTAACCCACTGCCTGCCTCATAACGGGTATGTGGTCCATGCTGGGAGAGTTAGGCTCCATCTCTGTATTCATACTGCTCAGTGGACAAATGAGCCAGGCACCATGAAATCAGATTATGAGATCTAGATTAAGTAAGATTAGTCAGAAAAGGTGTTTTGGAAAGAGAGGGCCTTTGACTCTTTTTAAAAGAAGATTTGGAGAGATGTAATTGGTGGCTAGAAAGTTAGAGAGATTTAGAACAATCTGGGTATGAAAGATCAAAGGTGCGGATTGGCCAAAAGGTATTATTAATTTCTCCCTATTTTACAGATTGATAATATTGTCCTGATGAAGGACTCAGATACGGGCCGCTCTAAAGGTTATGGTTTCATTACGGTGAGTCTGTAGTTTTTAACTTATTAATTTTTGTTTGAGTTTGTCCACTTGTCTGATTTTGCAGCTTAGCTTCATCCTCCTCCTTTAGGAACTGTTTTAAATGACCCATAAACCCTGGTGCCTGAAGCTTGGACTAGCCTTCTGCCCCTTGAGATGAGTGCATTGTTTGAGATCTTGGCTTTGCTCCTACACTCTGTCAGTGGCCCTGGTATGGGGGTGTCCAGGAGTTCGTCCAGCTTCCCTGGTGCTGCATCTTGCTCTTTGGGTAATAGTTATGATTCAAGGCTGCAGCTAAAAGGTTGGGGGCATGAGGGAGGTAAGGTATGGGCTTTTAGAGATGTGCTTTATAGAATTGGTATGTTTTCATGATAGGGGTGGGAATAGGAAGTTATACTTGCTTCTGGTGCTACCCTGTTTGAAGCAGTTTTTCCACTGAGAAGTGTCTTTATATTTAAATACCACTATAGGGAGATTAGTGAGGCCACCTAATAGTGGGCAAGTTTCACCTTTCCCTGACACTCCAACAAAATTGTTTCCAATTCCCATAACTGGTTCTTCCAGCCCCATGTGACTCCAGGCTGAGGACTGGCTGCCAGCCACAAAGTCTGATAGAAGCTAATGTATTCTGGGCTCAATCCAGGCAGCATACACCCCCACAGTTGCCTGCAGGGCAGAGGGGAGGTAGGTTGTGTTCTACCACGGGAATTGCTCACCTCAGAGGTATCCAGTAAAGGCAGGCCAGCCACACCAGCTGCCTAGGAAGTGTCAGTACCACGTGCCAGGCACTAGGGCAGGTAGTGCCAGAGTAAACAAAGCCAGCTGGGGTGCTCATGGTAGCAAGTTCCTTTTCTAGCTCCCTTTGTGACTCAAATGCCGAAAGGCTTCTCTGGGGCCTCTTTGCCCTTGTGTTCCTGCCTTTTGGGGCAACACCCTTGACACTTAAACAGCACACCAAGAATCCTCTTTATGCCAGGCTGCTGCTAGTGCTGCTGATGAAAGGGACTAGAGAGTAGAGGCCCTCTGGTCAGCAGGTCACTGAGTCAGCAGCACTGGGGTGGGGGTGGGGGTGCAGTCTTGCTCACAACACACCAGGGTAGGTTCCTGCGTAAGGCTGGGCCCTGGAGTTCCAGGTTCTTGACTGAGATCTGAAACTTACAAGTCCTAAGGGCGGAAATAAAAGCCCAGGAGCCTTGGCTCTCAGCCTATCTTAATTCCCTTTTATATGCCCATTTGTGAAACAGCCTGTCAGGCTAGGCTCCTGACAGATAATAGACTTTTTGCGTTGTCAGGCTCTTAGGGGAGCTGGAAGATTGAAAAATGATTGCCATTGAGTCAGTTGGAAAAAGACCTTTTCAGAGAACCATTTTGGGGGAATGGGGATCTTAGGCCACATTCCCTGGGAAAGAAAAGTTTGTGCCACAGTGAGCATGCAGTTTTCCTGGGATAGTAGGACTAGTAGTGTTACTGGGGCTTTGAGAGCATGTCTGTGGCCAGGAGGTGACTGACATGGCCTGGGTTTCTTGTAGTTCTCTGACTCCGAGTGTGCCCGGCGGGCCTTGGAACAGTTGAATGGCTTTGAGCTTGCTGGTCGACCTATGAGGGTTGGCCATGTGACTGAGCGACCGGATGGTAACACAGACATCACTTTTCCTGATGGAGACCAGGAGCTGGATCTGGGATCAGCAGGTGGCCGTTTGCAGCTCATGGCCAAATTGGCAGAAGGTAGAGTTTCTCTGCAGAGTGAAGAACATGGGGTTGAATTTTAGGTCAAGGGTTGGGACTTAGCCCCACCTTTTTTTTTCTCTTTTAGGGTCTGGAATCCAGCTGCCAACCACAGCTGCTGCTGCTGCCGCCCAAGCTGCTGCCTTGCAACTGAATGGAGCAGTTCCCTTGGGGGCCCTGAACCCAGCGGCTCTGACTGGTAGACTTTGACTTGGGAAAGGGCAAGAAGGGCCGGGACCTGGAAAGAAGGAATGCTCTGTGTTCACTCACTGTGCCTCTCTTTGTTCCAGCTCTGACTCCGGCTCTGAACCTTGCCTCCCAGGCCATCGCCTCGCAGTGCTTCCAGCTTTCCAGCCTCTTTACCCCCCAGACCATGTGAGTCTCAGGAGCTAGCTCATTTTACTCTTTAGCTCAAGAAATATTTCTTCCTCTGGCTTCCCGTTTACTTCTTCTCCTTGCCACAGGTAAATCAGTGGTGCAGTACACTGCCTCCCTGTGCCTCTGGGTCCTGCCACTCCCTTCTCCACATCTACTCTTCCATGGCCTCTTTTCTTCATTTTGTGGACCACGCCATCCTAAGGGCATGGGCATTGACTCTCGGGGAATTGAGGCCACCCTTAGACACCAAGAAGAACTCCTGCCCATGGCCCTACTGGGAATGGACTCTGCTGAGCAAAGCTGCTGGTCACAGAGAACAGAATCTACACCTACATTGAAGACCTGTTTCTCCATGTACATCGTCTCCCGCGATGACCTTCATTGCCCTTTCCAACCACTTCTTAGTGATTCCTTGATTCCTCTTCTGTTGGGAAGGCCATAGCGCATTAACTGAAGGAACTAATCTCTCTCCTTTTCCTATACCTCTACCCTACAGTCTGTCAAGGAAAACCCTTAAGAGCTCTGGTCCAAGAGGACCCGGGGGGGGTGAACCTTGAGGGTGCTGGCTTGCCATTGCAAGGGCCCTGGAAGAGAGCATGGACATGTGCATTGTGAAGCCTGCCTTAGACCTCAACTTGGGACCAGAACTCCTCCTGTGGGTTCAGCATCTTGCTGGGATGCGTGGGAATGATCTATCCTGCCAGGCATTTTGGATGTCTTAGGGGCATTCAGGAGTTTAGTGAAAGGTGGGGTACCTTTCCAGTATCTTCCGTCTTCCTTTGTGTAGTTGTCCTTCCTTTGGCCCAGGGTGGGAGGATGGCGGGGAGGCTGCTGCTCTCCACCACTTCCTATGTGCCTCTACCGTGGGCTCAACCCCAGCTGTTAAAGCTGCTCCTGGCCCCTAGCTGGGGACATGTGAGCCCTTCTCACTGGATTTTATACCCTTGTGTCTGTGTACATAAATATACATATATATATATATATATATATAAACTTTGTACAAAAGGCAAACCCCGCTATTGGGGTGGCTACTGTCCGTATGTGTGTGGTCTCAGCCGGTTGGTGTGTCTGTCTGATGTTAACCTCTAATGAGCCAAAACCACGAATGGTTCTAGGGATATAAAACATTTGTAATGCCATTGTGTTTTCTTTCCTTTATTTTAGTCTTGTTTTATCTAACTTTCTTTAGAAAGAAAAATGTTGGGAAGGCTCACACCTGGGCAGAGTTCCCCATCTGTATCTGCATGACACTCTTGGCCCCGTGGTTTCCTCCATCTTTCTTCATCTTGACTGTCTCCAAACCTACCTGCCCACTGAACAGACTTCCAGGCTCTTGTCTCTCCACCAGATGGCAGTGTGACAGTAGCGCATTCTGCACCTTCTTCTGGGGCGTTTGATGGTCTTGAAGAGCTTAAGTACCAGAGAAGCAGTCTAGGCTCACCATTCTTACCATTGGCCTCCGTATTGCCTTTGGTCTTTGTAGTAGAAATCCCAGAGATTTGGGCCTCATACCTCAGGGCTCCTTAGGCCGTAAGTCTGCTGTTGGTCCTTGGTCAGTCCCTCAACTCGGGCTTTCCATGTGGCTCTGCCTGGGACAACACAGGCCTGGGACCAACGAATTCCAGGGAGCTGAGTGTTTCAGGAATGGCCCTGCTGAAGGGGAGGCACACCTTCCTTTGCCTGCTTTTAAGGATTATCACAAGGGACCTGGGTCAGAACCTGGCTTACCAGCTAGGGACCAACGAAGAGGAGAAGGTCTGAGGTTCAGGGGCAGGGCTCTGTGGGGCTCCTCCGTTCTTTACTGGTCTCTATGGCAACAGGATGTTAAGACTTCATTGTCATGCTAAAAATATGGATAATTGCTGTTAGATTTTAATTTGTCAGCTCTCAGACTTCTAAGCAGAGTGATGCTTATCGGTGATGTTAGCTTCTAGGGTTGCTTGTAACACTGAAGTATCAAGTACTTGAAGCTGCTTGTGGCATAAAAGGCCACTGGGACCCAGGACTAGCTCTTGATTCTTCTGGGCTGCTGTAGTCTGACCTGCTGCTGCTGCTTTCTTTGCTGCCACCCACACCCCTTCCCTATCCTAGTTTGCTCTCTGCACCTGGGGGAAGGGGAGGAGGATGCATTATTTTTAGGTAGGAGCAGCTGGCAGTGGCCCAGTCTCCCTGCAGTTATTGATTTGACTGCCGATGCATCCTGAGGAGCACAATGTGGCCCATCTTTGTTAGTCATCCTGAGGCTGTGGACCAGGCCTCTGTAGGGCAGTCTCGAACTCCTCTGAACTACAAATGCCTACAGGCCTTGCCCGCGTGCCAGCCTCAGATTGGCCCCCATCTCTACTTGGTGTCCTTATGTTCCTATCCCTAGCTACTTTGGCCTTCCTGCACTTTGATTCCTTCCACCTGAATCCTTCCTTGCTCCCTGTATTTAGTTCCTTATACAGCCTCTTGCTGGGAGAGAGACAATGGTGGAAGTGAGGATACAGCTAAGACAACTTCTACTCTAGTCTTAACCCATATAAGGTGACAGCATCTAGTGGGTGACAAACAGTGTCATTGCGTGTGTGTGACTCAGTGCCTTCTTGTTACTCATCCTTCTATTGGGGGTGGTTGGAGTGGAGAGAAGGGGCCAGTAAACAGCTTCTGGACCCAGCCTAAGGTAAAAGAAACCTCGCTCAACCTCTCCTGCCTGAGCATGGTGGTTAGGGCGGGATAGAGGTGAGACTGTGACCCAGTTCCTTTCCCAGCATAGTTAGAATTGCCCACTGGTCCTCAGTTCTAAACGGGATTTTCACCTGACTTTTGGCTTTATAGCCTGTGCTGTCTTCTCTAAGGCAGTGGTGTTTTTTTAAACTGCTGTGTTCTTGACAGTGGGATTCTGCTTACCTTTTAGGCTCCAACAACCCCCAGACATGAGCTACCAGTAGAAGCAGGGGTTTAACCTTTGAATCTTTAGTCCTGGCACTTGTGATGAAGGGAAATGAATTAAAAACTTGAAGGGAGATATTCTATCACAGCTCCTCTTTGCTCTGTTAAGGGAAGGATCTGGGGATAATCAGGAAGTCAGACTTGGACAGTGAGAAGGGGCGATCCTGGTTCTGAGACGTGAGGTGGTAGGAGAGGGTATAATGATAATTGTTAACATTTACGCAGGATTTGTTGTGGGTTAGGCATTGGTCTAATTACTTTAAATGAATTGTTTAATCCTCCAACGACCCTCTGAGGTAGATTCTTTTATCTTTACTTTGTAAATGAGGAAACTGATACCCAAAGAGGTTAAATAACTTGCACTGTGATTACACAGCCAGTTTGGGATGCCAATGCAGGCAGTCTAGCTTCAGATCCCTTGATCTTAATCTTCACTTGCCTCTCAGCACCCTTGTGGGAGCCAAGGCCTAGGAGTCCTGGGCAAGTGTCACTTTTTCTATCTTATCTCTCTGCCCATAGTTCTCAGTATAGCCGGAGTTTTTCCACTTACATGTCTGCTAATCTTACTCTCCTTGCTCCTCTTCTGCTGTTCAAAATCCTGTCCTTTAAGACTCTGAAGCTTTCCTAGTTGGAGTTGATTTCCCTTTTCAATATTCTTTGTCCTATTATAAGTCTTATTCTGCCTTTATTTAGAGTTCTTTGTAGACTCTTGCTAGATTTTATAGCCTGATGAGGCCAGCCAGAGACATGTCTTTTTCATTATTGCTTTGCTTTGCGCATATTATGTGTCTGTTGAATTGAATTAATCCCTCTGTTCAAATCAGAGCCAGGCTTTCCAAAGGCAGTCCCTTCTAGTCTGCTTTCCCTGGCAGCCTTGTCCATTCCCCCCTCACTCCTCCAAGAGAGGAGGCAGCTTTATTCCTTTTGGTGTTACCATGGTAGCCTGTGATGCTTTCTGTCTGAAGTGCTGCCTGCCATCCTCCAGAGACTGATGTTTCCTTGGCAACCAGGTGAAGTCAATAGTCATGACTGGATACAGGAAAGGAATTCTGGTCTGAGAAACTGTGTGTCTGAATCTTCTGGCTTCAAACATGCCTTCTCCTCCCTTCCAAGTTTTGCACTCTGTATCTAGAACTGATTTGCTCTCAAAGTGTGCCCTTGCTTGAGAGAGCTCTGTGAGTGTGAGGTGAAGCAGACCAACCAACTTAGATCATGTGGGAAGGTGGAGGCAAGGAAAGGGCTAATCACAGATCACTTTTAAAAGTTGGATGAGTTCTGTTAGCTGTCCCAGATGATCCAAAGCCCTTAAGGAGTTGGCTGGAGTTACTGGAGAGCCATTAAGCAGTTATTTTTGAGGGTAGATGGATGAGGTGCCTGAAGACTGGAAAGGAGCCAGTCAGTGCTGGATTTCAGAAAGGGGAAACAATGACCTTGGAAATCAGAGACTTGTCAAGCTCTTGCCATCCAGAAAGGATGGGGAGCTTCAATGAGCTTTCAAGTATTGTGAAGCCTGCTTGTTCAGAATGAGTGGTGCTGAGAATTAGCCTCCTTCTCCCGAAGCCTGGGCCTAACCAAGCCAGGGGACCTCAACCTTGTAGCAGGATGGTCACACTCTGGAGCAACACTACATGGTTCATATCCCTCTTCTGTCACAAACCAGCTGAGTAAGCTTAGGTTTTACTTCTCTAACTCAGACTCCTCATCTGTAAAAACGAAATAATAACAATAGTACGTATCTCAGGGATGTTAAGAGGATTAAATGAAATGATACATGTAGACAGCTTAGAACTTGCTAGCTTGTCATTACTACAGCCATCATTATTCCCATTCCTCTGGATGCCTACACACTTGACTTTGTACCTGGCTTCCTTCTCCTTCCCAACTTAAGAGAATGTTCAAGATTTACAGGGGCATGGGCCGGCCCCATGGCTTAGCAGTTACGTGCGCACACTCCGCTACTGGCGGCCCGGGTTCGGATCCCGGGCGTGCACCGACGCACCGCTTCTCCGGCCATGCTGAGGCTGCGTCCCACATACAGCAACTAGAAGGATGTGCAGCTATGACATACAACTATCCACTGGGGCTTTGGGGGAAAAATAAATAAATAAAATTATTAAAAAAAAAGATTTACAGGGGGAGAAAGAGGGTGGGGCAACGGTGAAAATAAACCTTAATTATTCCTAGGCTAAAATCCCAGGCTCACAAGGTCCCAGGTCACATACAACCAGCCTAGCTTTCAGGAAAACAAATCCCACTGGCCCAGTCTCTTTCTATGCCAGAAACTCTATAATGATATTACAACCAGATGGCTTTGAAAAATCAAGATGAGCACCGCCCCCCCAGATGCCTTCAGGGTGCCTGGTGCTGTTTGCTTTGGCT